CTATTGCTCTTGTTTTTCTGTCTTTCTCTTATTTTGTGTTTGCTTGTGCTTTTTTTACTTTGCATTTTGTGAAAAACAAAGAAAAACATCTAAAATGTAAGCGAATTATTGAGTTGTTTTTATTTTCCGCGCTCAGGCTGACGTAAGTAACCGGAAGTGAAATTTCACCTCATTAGCAACGCGCGCGAGCGCGCGCATAAATCGGTTAATGGGCCCTTAAGGGGATGGTTGTAGTTGTGGCGGTGGTTGTTTGGCATAACGATTGTGCGAGTCGTTTTGGTGTTCTTGCTTTTTGGTGTGGTCTTGTTTGTGATTGTGGTTGTATGTGGTGGCAAGGACATCCACCTTGGGCACTTCAATGCATTGGTTAGCACTGTTGCAGCGTTTGAACTTTGCTTTACGAATCCCAAGGTGATGCTCTCTTTCTTCTAGGACAGGGTGAGAAAAGCAAAAGACAACCCTATTTTCGAAATACCGGGTCCAGGTTCTAGGGTTGATCTACGGAATCCCCCCTAAGTGGGGTAAAGGCATGGCGCAGTGGTGTTAGCACCCGTCTCCCACTGTAGCCTGGTTTCAATTCCGGTTTGATGTCATGTATGTGTTGAGTTTGTTGTCGCCCAGCGCTGAAGATTTTTTGTCCGGTTACTCCTTCTGAAATACCAACATTTCGAGATTCTAATTTGACCCGGACAGAGGACTTTATGAAAACCAGCTATAAGTGACGTGCCTTCATTTCTAAATTTTGTAATTTTTTATTGTGTATTGAGATTGATGTAAAGGATCAAGTATTTAGGATTCAGATTTTGGTTTTCCCAATAAATGTCCTTAGAAATGGCTGGCTCAGCCAGCTATTTTTTTCAGCAGGTGATCTTTGTCTGAAACTATGTGTTGCTTATCATTTGTTTCAGGATATTGTTTATCCAGTATCGTCTTCTGTGGCACCTGCTGGCAGGCACATCTTGATTTTGAAGGTGAAAATGCAAGTTTTTTTTTGTATTTTATTGTTTTTATTTGTAAGTTGTGCAATGGACAAGCAAAGAGATACTGTAATGCTAGTTTTACAATTTTACATTAAAAAGGGATACACACACACAAAAAAAGAAGAAGAAAAGGGGAGGTAAAGAAGCCTATTACAATGTAAATATAAATAGATCTCTACATACATCATCACAAAACATAAACTAAATTAACTGAAGCAAGGTAGAAATTTGTTCCATTTTTTATAATGTTTTGCCAATTTATTGCTGTTAGCTGCAATTTTCTGTTCAATCTGGCAAGTTGCTTTAACCTTGGCTATGAAGACCTTAAGAGAAGGATGTATGATATTTAATTTACAGTTATAAATATAATATTTAGCTAATAAAATAATATGGTTTAGAATATGAAAGTCCTCTGTGACATTGAATACTCCAAAGATAACATTTTCTAGCGTTAAGGATGTCGAGATTACCTTTTTTTCAGAAATCCAGGAACAAAGCAACTGCCAGAAAGATT